TCTGGACTGTCTCTGACAATATCGGATACATCGAGAGATGGTTTTGATGTCTTCCTTTTAGCTAATGGAGACTGCGAATGGCGTGCCGGAGAATCTACACTGCTAGTTCCTAAAAAAAGTGAGAAAGAAATCATAAATACTATACAGGGACTTTGACCAGATTTTGGAGCAATTTTAAAAATTCATAAAAAATCCAATTCATATTAGAATCAGCTCAAACTTTCTACTTAACATAAAAACATGTATATGCATCAGAAAAAAATATAAAAATGGAGAATTCTCTCCTTGCCATTTTTGCCAAAATTTGGCTCGAGACCCTGTACTATAGTACAGGGACTTCGACCTGATTTTGGAGCAACTTTAAAAATTCATAAAAAATTCAATTCATATTGGAATCAGCTCAAACTTTCTACACAACATAAAAACATGTATATGCATCAGAAAAAATTATAAAAATGGAGAATTTTCTCATTAAGATTTTTGATGAAATACCCTATTCCAGGATCTCAACTCTCAAGTCAAAAACTTGCTATTGGAATCACTCACTTTTTCTCTTTATCAGTTTTTCTTGGAGTGACATTGCAAAGTCTTGCAACAAATGATCCTCCTGGAGTTGACAGTTGAGATCCAGCGAGTATCCCGTGATCGGAAGGTAGAAGTCTGGATGGGACTCAAACGACTCATGAAGCATTTCTACAAATAAATAAGAATTGTATAATAATACCAAGTGTAGCAGTATATCTAGCAGTATCTGATTGACAGATAAAGTAACAAATCCCAACATTCTTTATTGATTTCACTTGCCTTTGTTTTCAATTTGTCTCGAATCTTCTTCTGACGGGGCCCAAAGGATGTTGTTGCCTTCTAGTCCTTTGGGAAGAATGTAGTGAGTTAAAATGTGGTTCAGCTGTACAGGATGAAGACAGGGAAACTCTTGTCTCAATGTATCCCAAGAGAACTGAATAGAGAGACAATAGAAACAATGGAACAATAACAACAATATACAAGAAAAATAATAATATTATACATGTACAATATTATTATTTATCATTCATTTATTTATTCATTCATTTATTTATTCATTCATTTATTTATTTATTTATTTATTTATTTATTTATTTATTTATTCATTTATTTATTTATTTATTTGTTTGTTTGTTTACTTTGATTAGTTCATGAGGTGATATTGCTATGAGGTCAATGGCAGATGAGAATGTGCCCAGAAATTGAAATACAATGTCCCTGAACCCGACAATCCCAGCCCAGCCTTCAAATCTGTCTAGACTCATCCTTAACTGTAAAGAATGATGGAAAATAAATGGTATTTTGTCATTTAATTATTTTTTAATACTTTAGTTCCTCTAGAGTATTTGAATAATCCCATCTCTGGTCCTTGATCAATGAACGTGTTAAAGAG